AGAGAAAATGAATCATGAAAAAAAAGGAAGAAAATCTAAGTTGAAAGCACGGTTGTGAGTTTTCACTATTTTTCTCTTTCCGAGAAGCACAACTGTGCTTCTTGCGGAAGCACAATTTCTTTTCCCGAGTGTGCTTCTCGTGGAAGAAAATGTGTGCCTTCACGAGAAGCAAATCTGCGGTTCTCGTGGAAGCACATATGTTTTCACTTTCTGAGAAGAATAGAAGCACAATGCATCCACAAGAAGTATATTTGTACTTTTGTGGAAGCATAAATTTTTTTCATGAAATATCACAGAAGCAAATTTGTGCCTCCTTGAGAAGCAAATCTATGCTTTTCGTGGAAGCATAAATTGTGCTTTTCGTGGAAGCATAGATTGTGCTTTCTCGCGGAATCAAATATGTACCTCCACGAGAAGCAATTTTGTACTTCTTGCGGAAGCACATATTTTCCCCCTTTTCGAGAAGCACAATAGATGCAAATCTGTGCTTTTATTTGTGCAAAAAGAACCTTGAAAACAAAAAATATCCAAAACCTAAGAAAAATCGAGAAATCCCGAAAACCCCCATCAAAAACCATAAACACGCATAGAAAAATAAAAAATGAAATCAAGATGGAGCGCCCAACACGTGACATGTTAGGACGGCTGGACGCACCACTTGGTGTGTTCTCAAGCCATCATAAGTGACTCTAGAGATCCACCGTCCACCTCCAGTTAGTTGGCCGGCCCAACTAGCTACTTTACAGTTTTTCCGTGTTTTTTCTTTTGGTTTTTATTTGCTATTTTCCATTTGGTTCTTTATTTTTTTCATTTTTTTCCTTTCTTTAATGATTTTCATTTTTAAATGGTCGCTTCTTCTTTTCTTTTCTTTTTATTATTCATTTTCGAATTTTATGTTTTTTCTTTTTCCTTTTCTTTTCATTTTGTGAACATTCTTTGTATTCATCAATATTTTTTTCAAATGTGAACATTTATTGAATCCACAAATAGATTTTAAATTGTGGATTGTTTTGAAACTCATGAACAGTTTTTTGAATCTACACACTTTTTTTTATAAAAAATCGACAATTTGTGAAATTTACAAAAAAAAAATGTGAGCCAGAGAAGTCTTTTTAATTGACCTTTTTTTTAAATTTGGGAACGAAATTTGAATTTCAGAAACATTTATTGAATTTGGTGAACATTTGAAAAAAAATCATGTACATTTTTTGAATTCACAAATATTTTTTTCAATTTCATGAAAATGCGGGCATTTTTTCAAAATGATGAGCATTTTTTTTACTTTTGAAATATTTTTAAAATCTAGAACATGTGTTGAACACACCAAAAAATATGAATATTTTTTGAATCAACGACTTGGAACATTTTATGTTTTCTCAAAAAAAAATAGAATTTGTGTTTTTTTTTAATTTGGAACTTTTTAGAATCTTGAATTATTTAAAAAAAAGGAAGCATCTCAAACATAATAAAAATTGCATCGCGATTCCTATACCACCGAACAACCACTACCTGCCGACGCGTCGTTGTCGCCGCTCCCCTATCGAAGTCGGCTTGACCTTGTCAATGACAGCCGGGAAGTCTTCATGCACGTGTCCCCAAGGACCATCGCTTAGAGTCGCAGTCGTCGTTGTTGAACTCTTGTATAGATCTACAATAAGTGACACCAAATCTCGAATCATGACGAAAAATCCTAACATCACTACTCCAAAGTAGTTTTTATTATGTTTGAGGTGTTTTATACTTCTGATGAATGTTTATAATAAATTTGTATCTTTTGCACATTTTTTTGGAACATGAGGTACGACGACGAATGGCAGGATTGATGTGAAATTGAACAATCTGTCTAGAGCAATCGTAGATCAATCTAGAGCTTGGTTTGCCCGTCTCTCACAGGAACCGCTTCGCTCTGCCTTTTGCAGATTGTACCTTCTTTGGTGGCCATTTTTTCTGGATTTACTTCAGGCCTTTCTGAAATTGAACGAAGAATGAATTCGAAAAGATCCACCAAAGACAACCACCTACCGATTGTTGAAGAGACCGAGATGGGGCTAGGCCGGGAGAATCTTATTCCTTCTTCAGGGAGCTGCCTCCTTCTCGCCTTTTTGAGCATGACACAAATCCTAACAAAACTTAAAGAAATATCTAAAAACATAGCCCTCCTGCTGGTAAGGTTCGGGACCCCCCATGCGCCCACAACCCTAAGGCCACAAGAAACGAGGCAGATCGACGCCGGCACCGATGAGAGGCAGGAACCCTGGCCATCGGTTTGCTTTCATTTCATTTTCGTATTGGCTCCACTTTTTTGTTACTGGAGTACTTTCCATTACTTTCTTTTGGTAACTCAATTATTATTTTTCACCGTCGAATTACCTTGAATGGGTGTCTCTGAATTTTTTGCAACCACCCTAGAGCTAACTAGTGGGCTACCAGCCCCTTTCCAAAGTTACCATCAATATAATTCTGAGTAGATCTATTTTGAGGATTCCTTTTGTAACCCATACCAAACCAGCGTTTACAATCAGTTTATTTGGATGGAACCAAAGAATGGCCGGAAAGAAACGTGAAAATCACGCTCTGAATCGAATCGATTGGGTCCCACTGCAACCGTACATACACATCTCATGGTCGGTGCGGAACCGTTTGGTCAAAAGAAATTTCTAAAGCTTGATGAGGCCCACACACACAATAATCCAAAATAAACAAGGGCAATCCTCAAAAAAAACAAAACAAAACAAGGGCATCACACCGTACCAGTCCAAACTTCTTCCTTTTTATGATTCGCGGAAAAGAAAAGCGCCGCACCCTACGCGGACACGGCCGCGGGGGTTGGACGGGCGCGACGCCGTAAACCGAACCCCGCCGACCGGAGTCAACAATTCGGTTAGAATGGAAAGTGCACGCGTCCCCTGCCAGCGCCAGCCCAAACAGTACTCCACGGGCCGCCGCCAGCCCCGCCGGGCTGTCAGCCGAGGCCGCCTTAACGGCGCAACGCGGTTTCTCTCGACCGCACGGCACCCACGACGCACGCGTGGCCGCCTACCAACGCCAACACCGACGGGTCAAGAAAGCGGGCAGGGGGAGCAAAGCCGCCGAGCCACCAGCCCACCACACCAGATCACCGAAAGCGCAGCTAAGGCTAGCCCAGGACTCCAGGCTGCGAGGCTGTCACGTCCCGGCTCTCCCAACAAGTCCTCCTCCCCCTCCCCTCTTTCGCCCACCAGTCCACCTTCGCCATTCCTTTTTTCCTTCCTTCCTTCCCCTCCAAGCGACGACTCCATCCATCCTCCGCGCGCGCGCCAGCTCCGTTCGCGCCGGGGCACGGGAGGCGCGGCGGCGGCAGGGAGACCGGCCGGCGCGGGCGGGCGGGCGGGCACCGATGCACCACAGGTTCTCGCGGGTCGCCCACAGGGTCCTCTGCTGCGGCAGGCAAGCCTCCGGGGACGATCTGTAAGTACCGACACCAACGCTGTCCCCCCTTCCCCGCTTTTGCTTCAACTGGGTGGGCTCGTCAGCGAGTTCGGCGGGGCGCGGAGTTCGATCGGCGCGTCGTCAGCCCCCTCGGTTGGAGTTCGCTCGCTCTAACCACGGTGGGAATTTCGCCACGCCCGCTAGGCCGCTAGTCTGGCTAGGTTGTACTAGACGAGGGTGCCACCTACGGCGCCCTGGGACAAGTAATTCTGTTGAGGCGGTGCTCAATTTCGCCGGGAAGAGTCTTGGTTCGGCCTGGTTTGGTTTGTATGACCAGCGGCGGCCGGCGGGGCTCGTCGGGACTGGGGAATAGCTGTTGCAGCTCGCAATTGGGTGCGAATCTCATCTCCCGGAAGGTCCAAAACGTGTTGTGTTAGTCTTGGTGTTGGAGGACGCATCTGTCTTGTTTAAGCCCTCTTGTCTCTCTGTGATGTTAACAGTTTCGCAATTGTTGTCCCCGACCGGAGCCAACTAGTCTATTATGCTCTCATATGGACAGTAGAACCGAAAATTGGGACGGAATCTTATCTCCACACATTGTCCCCTGGTGTTCCTATGATTTAGGTGTTCTGACTGGTTCAGGAATTAGGAGCACAAGTGAATTGTTATCAGTGGAAAGGGAACTAACTTGATCGTCTGCTACTGCAATTGAAGAGTTCATGATCACCATATTGACGACTTTGTTTTTTCAGGAACGACGAGCGGAATGGATCCATCAGGTGGGTGTTCTCGTTGAGGGAGCTCCAGTCGGCGACAAATAGATTCAATTACGACAACAAGATCGGAGAAGGCTCGCTTGGGAGCGTCTACTGGGGACAAGTTTGGGATGGCTCTCAGGTTACTGCGCTTTACATGTTGATCCATTTTATACATTTCCCAATTCCCTTTCCCATGATGGGAAGGATGCCAGCTTTATCGCCTTGATGTTCCTTGCTGTCTAGTTGGGCTAGTAGTTTATTGCTTTACTTGCACTATTCGCAAATGCTATTCGATAGCTGCCTAACTACACAACAAACAACTGTCAGTTATAACTACTTTAGTCTGCTCTGGAACACTGATCTTTGATTGCGTTAGCATTCGTTAGGTAGGATATCCTCTCACAGGCAGGTCAACTTAGACAACTTGCTACAATGCTACAGGTTTGCAAGTATACATCCGCTGAATAGAAAAAACAATCCAGCACATGCCCTGACTTGGCTCCGACTACTGCGTCACACGTCTGTTTTTTATTAAAGAAATCACTCACTGACCACCCTAAAATAGCATATGTGCAAAGGTGCATTAGTTCTGCTCTTACCAAGTTGGCTCGGCTTACACCAGCAGTTATTAGTCAAGTTAATTTTGATAAATATTTTTGGATGCAGATTGCTGTTAAAAAGTTAAAGAATGCAAGAAATGGGACAGAAATGGAATTTGCTGCAGAAGTGGAATCTTTGGGAAGAGTAAGGCACAAAAACCTCCTGAGTTTACGTGGATATTGTGCTGATGGACCTGAACGCATTCTGGTGTATGACTATATGCCGAACTCAAGTCTTTTTGCACATCTCCACGGAACACACTCTTCGGAGTGCCTTCTTGACTGGCGGCGGAGAATGTTTATTGCCATTGGTTCTGCTCGGGCTATTGCGTGAGTAAACGTCTTCCTTTTGTGTAGTAGCATGACATAGATAATTCTTTCATTTTTACTTCTGGTAAGCAGTTTGAGAGAACCTCATGGGTGCTTTCTTGCAGGTATCTTCACCACCATGAGACACCAACGATAATCCATGGAAGCATCAAATCGACCAATGTGTTACTTGATTCGGATTTCCAGGCACACGTTGGTGACTTTGGTCTTATGAAGCTCATCTCAGATGAAATAGATCATGATAAGATAATCGGTGAAAACCAACGAGGCTATCATGCTCCTGAGTACGTCATGTTTGGCAAGCCTACAACAGGTTGTGATGTCTACAGCTTTGGGATAATACTTCTGGAGCTCACTAGTGGGAGAAAGCCAGTAGAAAAATCAGGCTCCCAGAAAATGCTCGGGGTCCGAAACTGGGTGCTACCGTTGGCAAAAGAGGGTAGATACGATGAAATTGCAGACTCAAAACTCAATGACAAGTATTCCGAGTCTGAACTAAAAAGGGTGGTGCTGATCGGCCTAGCGTGCACGCACAGAGAACCCGACAAGAGACCGACGATGCTCGAGGTTGTGTCCCTGCTGAAAGGTGAATCGAAAGAGATGCTTCTGAGGCTTGAAAAGGAGGAGCTATTTAGGCCAGACTCGATGGCTAGTTCTGTCGGAACGACCCCGGAAGGGAGCACCGACTGCATTCTTAAGAATGATGATGAAGGGCTGGCTGGGGCTTGATGGGTTGGTACCCAAGCCCCTAGGTATTGGTAGAGTGGATGTTCCTGCTGAATTGGAGCTTGGTCTGCATGGTTTGGCTTGACTGAAATGTATAGGATTGGTTTGTTATTTATGATGAACTCCTCCCTTTTTTGAGAGAGGGGGAGATGTAGAGAGGTGAGTTGGCTTTTTATAGAAAGTGCTTTTTGTGTGCACTGGGTGGAAGACCCGTATACTCCCAGATGTTTGGGCATGCTTCATCCTGTTGTCACTGTGGTGTTTACTCTAAACAAAATTTCCTCCTTCTGCGTACAACTGAATGCAGATGTCTGGATGATCATGTTCTCTCCTTGACAATAAGCCCTCTGTACATCTGGGAGTATTCTGTCTGTAAGAAGCTCTGCCTATCCTATTTCCTGCTATCATGTTCTCCTAAGCTAGACCCAAGCCCCAGCTCATGAGGCAGTAACGTACTGATCACAGAATTTAGGGTAGTGAAAAAGATAAAGGAAATCGCAAACGGGCCAAAACACTAGCATGTAGCGGCATAGGCGTGGGCCGCCTAGCAGCCACACGTTTTTTTTCCTTTTTTTGTTTATATTTTAAAAAAACACTAATATCAAGGCACATAGCGTCGTTAAATCCTCCGCAAAAAAGAAAAAGGCCTCGCTAAACAGCTCTACGCCTTTCCTCAGTATGCCATGTGTGGCTCCTTAATACTCCAAACCTAAATGGCATTCCTATGAACCTGTTATCTCCATCTCCACAACTAATAAAAGATCAAACATGATTTATTTTAAACGCACCCCACAAAACATACACGAACCAATCCCACCACATCATTAAGCCCACTAATCTGAATCTAACTGCTGTCAATCTTAACTTGATCAGTTTTTCATGTGCACTTAGCAATTTGTATTGACTGACCATACTCCACCCAAGGACTAATCACCCCGTGAAAAAAGGAAACTACTAATCACAGCCGATTCCTATATGGTCAACCAAAAATGAGCACCCCACCTCCATCGCCATCCATGACCTCGCCGACGTGCTGTGCTACCACTTCTTCATCGAGTACCTCCCCATCCAACCACGCCCACATGACGTGCTGCGCTACCACTTCTTCATCGAGTATCTACCTCTCCATCCAACCACGCCCACATCCCCGCCCCAGGGAAGCTCGTTCCAAACCACCGGACGCGCGCCCTGCGACCAGGGGCACGCCCGGGCAGCAGCGGCAGCTCCGCTGTAGTAGTCCGCTCGTCGCACCCTTCCTGGGGTCGAACGCCACCATACTCAGTGCCGCCACCACGGAGCCATACAGCATCAGCGTGCTCGCCGTGGGTGGCCATCGTCCGTTCCGGCTTCAACATCGTCGTGTCCGGCTCCGAGAGCCACCGGTTCCCCACGGTCAACATCACCATCTTCGTCCTCACGACCTCGCCCATCATGCCGTACTACTACTACCCAGTACCCACTCGGCTCCCTCGAGTGCATCGTGAACCCCGTCTAGCCCACTCTCGCCATTGAGTGCACCGAGGTAGGCCGCTTCACGCTCAGCATCACATGATTCAATAGCTCCGTCGCCATCGACACCTGCGTCGATCACCCGCACGGTGTTCGACCAAAATCTTCAGCGACAAGGATTTTGAGCTCGTCCAGGCTCTGAATATATCTACTATTTCCAGGCAGGATACCAATCTTCAGCAACGAGGATGGGCGACGGGGGTGTGCTGGCGGAGACGGCGTTGCTAGGTGACACCGATAGTATAGTGGATCGGATGGGTGCAATTTAATTCCTCTGTGCTAGCATGCCGGAGGAATGTGCTGAGATCTGCGGCGGGTTTGTGACGAGGAAATCCGGGCAGATAATGCAATGCTCGTGTCAGGGGGGCTGGAAGGGGCGCCCCCTGAAAGGAGGACAACTTCTCGTGTTGAAGAACATGAGGAAAGTGCAGATATAGCCACACAGCTTATTGTCAGCGAGGAGTAGGTGATTAGATACATTAACAATAAACTGAATTCACGAAGCAAACATAAGGGACTCAATGAGGCAGAGTGCCTTAGCTTTTGTTTGCCTGTGTTAGTACATTTATATTGCATGGCAAACATTATGGGATGTGAAGTAAATTGTTCTATATGTCACTGATTCTGCAGGATTGGAGTAGGGAGTCATCCACTGGATAGGACCTCATTACAGAGAGGGTTTGTGCACTTGATAAGACGACCAGGGGCGCGCGGACAAGTTGGGTGAGCATGTTCTTGAGCTTTTCATCCATATGATTCATTAGGAGAGCCATATATATGATTTTTATAACTTCTATTTCTGGGAGCATGGTTTCAGAATTCACAATGGGAAAAGTCGGCTGAACGCATAGAAGATGAAATGCTTGCAAGAAATAGTTTGTGGTTGCTCTGTATCTTAACTGGGTTGGTTTAGAATTAACTTCAGTTTCACCGATGCTGACAACTATCCGCACAGGGGAGGCCTACGTAGGAGAACAATAAATCTTGCCGCTGTGGATGCCGAACACTGATTCGACTTTGCAGACATCAGACAATGGGTAGCACATTACTAAGCACAGAGTCTCGCACAATAATTCTTTCAGTCTGACATGTGGGTAGAAGCTTCATTGGCCGTCGCACAAGCAGATAGATTAGTACACAAACGACTTGGTGAAACAGCTAAGGCAAAAAAGTTCTTCGACTACGAATTCAGGGCCAAATTTTGCTCCTTCTTTTCCTCCAATTATTCGTTCCAGTTTGATTAGGATCAGAAATGTTTCACTAGCATGATTGTTTGTAAATGATCACCACCCTCCGTGTACTTTTGTTGTTGTCACTCCATTAATTATTTCCCCAAACGAATCAGGTGCACTTTACTGAATATGATGGGCAAGTTTTTATGTCAAGTCTCAGGGCAATGAACCTAGACCCACTGGGAGCATGTGAATTTCTACTCTATGTTTCTAATTCTATTTTTTGTCAATATTTCCATTACTTCGTAATGACATACGCTCGATGGGCTGAGAAGCTGACCTCTGGCTGAAGCTATCTGTAATATTGTTTCTCCAAGTTTCCATTCATCACCGAAAATATTATGTTCCTCACATAGCAGTATACATAATGCTGTAGATCTATTTTATAGAAGTCGGTTGTCCTATCTTTATAATGTTTTTTCTTTGTGTGGAATAAGGTATTTTTGGAAGAATCCTGCTAATGCTTGCCTGTAGCTGAATTGGAGGTAACACTTGGAATTACTTGGAAGCTGGAATACTTTTGGAGTGTGTTATGAAGATTGCTCAAAAGGAAGTTTGATCATATTGTTTGATGAAATATCACTATCATTCTTCTGCAACTTGCAAAAAATAAAGTTTGGGTTGATAGGGTATATATAATTTCTGAAAATGAATAAAAATCAATGACAATGTTCTAAAAATGCAACATCCCTCTCCACGGCAACAAAAAAGAATCTCTGCCCTTTAGAGTATGACTAGAAAGCAAATCTCTTAAGAAAAACATTCAATAAATTATATTGTATGGCGCGGAGTGTTGGCCGACTAAAAGGCGACATGTTCAACAGTTAGGTGTGGCGGAAATGCGTATGTTGAGATGGATGTGTGGCCACATGAGGAAGGATCGAGTCTGAAATGATGATATACGAGATAGAGTTGGGGTAGCACCAATTGAGGAGAAGCTTGTCCAACATCGTTTGAGATGGTTTGGGCATATTCAGCGCAGGCCTCCAGAAGCTCCAGTGCATAGCGGACGGCTAAAGCGTGCGGAGAATGTCAAGAGAGGGCGGGGTCGACCGAATTTGACATGGGAGGAGTCCGTTAAGAGAGACCTGAAGGATTGGAGTATCGACAAAGAGCTAGCTATGGACAGGGGTGCGTGGAAGCTTGCTATCCATGTGCCAGAGCCATGAGTTGGTTGCAAGATCTTATGTGTTTCACCTCTAACCTACCCCAACTTGTTTGGGCCTAAAGGCTTTTTGTTGTTGTTGTTGTTGTTGTTGTAGAAGAGAACATGCATAGAAACCGTGAAATAAAAATAAAAAATACAAAATTAGGTAACTCATACAATTGGGTTTTCAACTTATGTTATTCTGCCCTTTAAAGTATGATCTTCTTATTATTTACACCTTCTTCATTTGTCCATATGATTTAATTTTCTTCCACACAAAAAAACACTAATTGTTAGGGAAACATGTGCAGATGAAAGACTCTCTAAACCAGACAACCGTTTTCTTAATATGTGATGAAGTTAAGACGTGCGTTGCACGTGCAAACTTATTAGTTGGAGCAATAAAATGGAATGTCTTCAGACTAACTTTTTAGAAAGTAATAATAAATACCTATATTACAAAAAATATTTTACTTAATTTTTCAAAGTGTTCATCGCACACTTAAAAAAATGTTGTGAAAATAAAATATTTGCTCAACATTTAGAAAGTTACTATTGTACAATTGAAAAAAATGTATGTAGCACATAAAAAATGTTCATATGTTTCACAAAAAATAACGCGACTTAAAAAACAATATAATTATATCTGACTAATTAAGAAAAATTGTACCTTCCAAAATGTGTACGTTACATTCTAAAGAATGTCGCCTTTCAAAAATATGTTCATGAATTTTAATAATTATGTTGATGCAATCTAAAAAATGTAGTTTTAAAAATGTTCTATATCAGTCAAAAAAAATGATTCGACATGTTTGAAAAATGTTTAACACATATTCCAAAAATGTTCAAAAAAATAAAATTTAAAAAATGTTAATCATGTATTGAAAAATGTTAAACATGTATAAAAAATGTTTTAGCTGTATACCAAAAATGTAATACGTGTATGAAAAAGTGAACATCAAAACATATCTGTTAAAAGGTTGTTAATCACTCCCTGCAAAAAAAGAATGTTAATCATGTATTTAGAAAATTTAAACATGAATACAAAATGTTTCTGGTGTATACGAAAATGGTACAATCTGTATGAAAAAAATTAGACATGTGCTAAAAATAAA